ATGATACATCGAATCGTAGAAATATACATAGTGGCACACTGCATCGTATTAATAGACACGATGCTACATCGAATCGTAGAAATATACATAGTGGCACACTGCATCGTATTAATAGACACATTGTCACATTAAATCGTAGAAGTAGGCATATTGAGTCTCACTGTAAGACGATTATCAAATGATTTAATGTTAATAATATCATTAGAACAGTATGATTTTATGTTCGTGTACTAAATAAAATGCACAAAATATGGACACAAACAATCCATAATAGGTTCAAATAACATTTAAATATATTTACAAAAGGGTTAAAAACCATCACTTAAGTTCTGTCGTGGCAATATAATTTGATTGACCATATTATAGCATTATAAAAATGTTTAATAAATGAGAAAAAGGGATTAAAATAACGAGTTTGAGGCGTCATATGAAATACACCATGCCAGCTAAGACGTAACACCCCACTTTTCTCAAGGAGTCAAAATGGTGCAGCTAGGAACCTATAAACAAAGGTCCAAACAATGCATTACCTCATTGATTCACATTAGAATGGCAGGTGTGTGCATGCTACCGCCACCTTTTGTCGATAAGATGTGTTAGCAAGTCTTACGAAATATGGAGTCACAGAAAGGATTATCATTTAATCGTTTGTTTTCTTAAGAGACTGAAATCAAATTTTAAAATCTGCTGGATATAGTGACGCTTATTGAGGGTGTTTGTCCAATGGCCAATCAGCTTGCTAGGACATACCCTCATGGCCACTCATACCGATATGACTAGCTCTAGCAATAGACACACAGGACAGCGGAATGGAGCGTAGAAAAACAACATGTTGTTTCAGAAATTTGTGCAAAGCTACACAATGAACCGACAGCTTAGAGAAAGTGCAGCTAGCAATGGCACCCATCAGTTAGCTCTTGAGTTACTCGTCTGACCGAAAAGTAGAACCTGTTTGTATAATTCACTAATGAGGCGGCAGAGGTGAAATGGGATACTAAATTACGGACAAAAAGTCACGTGCTAAGAATCGTATAATCGGACTTA